AATTTCGGCCCGGCTTACAGGAAACAGGCAGAAGCAGATGCTAATCCTGCTCCCTGACAGCGGGGGCTATGTAATTAGCTGCCCTTCCCCTTGTGGCTTCATAGCTGCCAACAGAAGCAGCAGATGGCAGAGAATGTTGGAGAACTTCATTAGGCACTAAAGCAAGTACCTGTCACTGGGTTTTTGGTTTTTTTTTGCGGCTGTTTGGTTGGTTTACACAAAACGGCACCGGGAGATGGACAGCCACTCGCTGCAAGTGGGGGGGAATGTCTGCCGCAGCACGTTGCTGAACATCTGCTGCAGAAGGTTGGAGCATCTCTGTGTTACTTTGCTGGTGACACCGTGGGTGTAGATGGTATGGACACGTGGGAGTGGCGTGTCTGTTTAAGGGGGCGGGGGTTCGGGGCTGATTCGCACCCTGCTAATGCTGATCCCAACCTGCACCCATCATCACACAAACGCTCTTATTGTGGGAGACTCCAGACTGACAATCTGCCGGCAACATGGCGGTACTGGCCACTGGCAGAGACTCCTCCCGCTAAGATAATGGATGACCGTATAAGGCCTGCCGCTGGGAATAAAGTGCGATTGTGACAGTGCAGGGTGACAGCAGCTGTGCCGGGACTCTAAGGGGTGGGGGGGGGGGGGAGCGGGGATCCACCATGAGCAGTATCCGGTTACAGTGCGCTTTCCAATCTTAGCCGCCTGACGGCAGCCGGGACACGCCGGGCCAGCCGAGGCTGAAAAGGTCCCAAGGACAGACAAGGGTACGGCCAACCGTCCGCGGTGGGATGGGGGGCTCCGGCGGGGGACCGGCACGCCAGCACGCCGCCGATACTCCACCGAGAGGCCGCTTTTCTGCCGTGGTACCCCAGTGCCATCTGCGGACCAGTAACCCTCAACGCACTGCAAAGGACCGTGAGCCACCTTTACATCGCAAGGAGGCCGTTAGAACAAGACGCTATATTATTCTGTATTTAATCCCCACCCTCAGATTCCAGAAGAAGGGGGGGGGGGCTCATCTCCCATCCCTGTCCCCCCCTGCAGCCGCCTGTTTCCATCAGCTGGCATGATAAGGCAGAGCCGGGAGAGCGCAGGCTGACCGGCCCGGACACATGCACGGAAATCACAAGCCCAGACCGCCACAGAAACACATTTTCCAGAGCAAATAGGAATGTGGCGGCCAAGCGCGTCACCAAGGAGCTCCTAGAAGGTTCCGTCAGCTGCCACGGTCTTGATTTAAACTCCTGGTTTTAAACGACGTTCCCTCGTCCCCCCCCCGAGACATTGATACGGGTTTGAACTAAATCGCAGTCCAACAGTATGACAGCCAACACAAACATCAGCGAGCCGCCGCCTCTTTCCACAAGAAGCAGGAGAGTCCGGGAAAAGTCTCGCACGTCTAAACAAGGCGGATCTGCAGAGGCCGACCCAAGGTGAGCCCTAGGGACGGCGCTGAGGACACGGGGCAGCGGGCCCTGGCATGTTTGCGTGCCCTTGCTCTGGACCCTCACTGTCGGCTCGCCTGCAGTGACTATCACCAAGCCTCCCGCAGAGACACCCCTATCACCGCAAGCCACAGAGTCCGCGGTGCCAGTGGGGACACCCCCCTCGCCTCCCACCCCGCCACTCTCACGCCGGACGCATGCGATCACCCCTTACCTGCTGAGGCCAGGAGTAGCAGGGAGACGAAGCAGCAGACTGAGGCTATACCCTTCATTTTGGCTGCCAGGAGACTGGTGACAGTCACACTGGCTATATATACCAGGAGGGAAAGTTCAAAGGTCGCACTGGAGATGGGTGGGGGAGGACGTTGGGGTTTGGCAGTGGCAGGGGGGGGGGCATGGAAGCAGATTTGAGTCTCAGAGCAGGACAGTGTAGACAGAGCAGGCGGAGTGGGCAGTGCAAACAGTGCAGACAGAGCATGCAGGGCAGACAGCGCAGACAAAGCATGCAGGGCAGACAGTGCAGACAGAACATGATGGTGCAGACAAAGCAGGACAGCTCAGGCAGAGCAGACAGTGCAAGCAGCAGAGACAGTAAGGGCCCTGTGAGGGCAGCAGCTATCCATCTGCTGGCTTGTCTACGATAATACTGGAATGTTTCACTCCATTGACCGTGCCCACAGCCGATACCCGCTTCCATTCTGTAAACGCTGCATGCTGCCAGTCTGAATGGGACTGTTACCATCAGTCTAAGAGCTCTCTGAAATTCCCTATATCCATCCTTAGCACAATAATCAAGACACCGATTTCCACTCAGATGCTTTCTATCTGAATAAACATGAAGCTCTTCCATGTGTTGAAAATGTGATTCCTGTGTGTTTGTACAACCTGGCATGACCCACCTCCGCTGCCGGAAGGAACAAAGCAGTAACCAAACAGGCACTAAGAACAAGAACAACAAGAAGAACATATGTAACCAGTCATCCAGCGGCAGGAATAACTCAAGCGAAGTCTGGCACTTCTTAGGGGGCCCATAATTAAAAACAACATTTCCATTATCAAAATATGAAGTGAGGGGCAGGACGATGCCGTACAAATCATAGAAATGAGCTGGAGAGTCAGCGGGGGAGCCAGGTGTCTGTGTGTGCGTGCGTGTTTGGCTGGGGGGGGTGGGGGGGGTGGATGGGTCGGGGGCATTTAGAAATGTGAGGAATGCCCAGACATTCAAGCTCTTCAGCACCAGCTGTTAGAAAAATTAAGCCCAATCATAAAATGCAGCAGGACATTCTGGCAAAACGTTTATTGAAAAAAAAAAAATGTGTGAAAGATAAAGTTACAGCACCTTAAATGATGGAAACAGCTGTCAGTCTGACCCCTGTATTAATGTTTAAACATGTAAATATACCTTCTTCTCTAACAGCATTAGTGCAGAATTAACTATATACTTGCAGTGATGACATATATAGGTCAGCATCTATATAGCGTTTAAAAACTGCAACATACAAGGGGAAATGTAACAATTAGCTTAAATACTGTCATAACACCTGTGTAATGCAGTAAATTAATGTAACGCTTATTTATGTCATGTTTCACACCTGATGTCCATGTGTTATATTATATTATGCAACAAATAGTTTGCGGTTCTGAAACCTGGTAGGAAGTCTTCACTGGCAAAGACAACCGCAGAGAAGAGTCATGAATTCCATCATGCCGCGTGATTTTGAGGGTGAAGACGCCGAACCTGACCTCCCCCATCGGGCGTTAAGTGAAACCAGTCGCCGTCTGCAAGTGGCTTAAATCCGGACCCAGTAGGACGCAGGAGGGAGCTTATTGGAAGGCAGTCAGGGGGAAATTAGCGCTTAAACTGCGCATACAGGGCAGGCGCTGACGTCCGTCGCACGCACCCTACTGTGTCCCCCAAGGCAGCACAATCTTAGCACGGCCCTTCTCTGGTGTCCCCTGTAGTCCCGTGCCAAATTTAACCACCACTGGTGAACTGTGACCTCTACAAAACAGGCTCTCTTTTTCCACTCCGGTGGGGGGCTGGGGTGGACCAGGGAATCCCATGAAGGCCTAGACCACTAAGAGACCCCCCCCCCGCCCCGAACCCCACACCAGTCACATGAAATTCAGCAGAATTCCAGCGGATGCCAATGGGCCGCAGCGGCGCCGAAGGGGGTTTCAGCATCAGTCTGAGGCAGAATGGATGGACAAATTGAAACAGAAACCATCAGGCAGGATTGGAGCAGCACAGCACATGGGGGGGAGCCACACAGCCACACACCCGGCCAATGGGAGCCATACAGTCACACACCCGGCCAATGGGAGCCACACACCTATCCAATAGGAACACAGCCGGCCAATGGGAACCACACAGCCACACACCCGGCCAATGGGAACCACACAGACACAAACCTATGCAATGGGAGCCGCAGCACACAGCCACACACCCGGCCAATGGGAGCCACACAGTCAAACACCCAGCCAATGGGAGCCACACAGCGACACAGCCGGCCAATGTGAGCTACACTGCCACACAGCCGGCCAATGGGAGCCACACAGCCACACACCCGGCCAATGGGAACCACACAGACACAAACCTATGCAATGGGAGCCGCAGCAAACAGCAACACAGCCGGTCAATGGAAGCCACAGAGCCAAACATCTGGCCAATGGGAGCCACACAGCCAAACACCTGGCCAATGGGAGCCACACAGCCACACACCTGGCCAATGGGAGCAACACAGCCACACACCCGGCCAATGGGAGCCACGGCACACAGCGAATCAGCAGAAGGAATATGGACAGCAGCCAATGGCAAAAACCTACAGCATGCCTTCTGAAGGGGAGTGCAGCATGTGCATTTATACCTAACAGTAGCAGTGATCGATATGCTCACAGCCGCAGCGTAAATACTTCCTCTATGCTAAACCTGTATGAGGTACATCAACAGTAGTCTGTTACAGCATGATACTTGTGGGGAGATTGTTGAATAGGAAGCATTAGTTGCTCTTTACAACAGGCCTCTCAGGTTTGAGTTAAAGCAAAAGTACATAAAGAGTGTTTCACAGCCTGCTGAGAACTGTGACGTGAAGCTGATACTCATTTACATTTTAGCAGAAGTAAATCGCCACAAGATATGAGGCAGGATTCTGCAGTTACAGACACCTGCCTCTAGAGGCAATAGAATGAAACGTTTGCGTGTTGCCAGCAGCAGGTATTTGATCCGTAGCTGATAAACATGAAACATGATCTTCTGCTCTCTGCACCTTGATTACAGGCTTTCAATCATACAGGCTTTCACCTGTAGTGGACAGGTGCTGTGTGATTACCACAATTAGCCCGAAGTATTGGGTTTCCACTCGTCATTTTCCTCTTACCACCCAGTCTGAAACTCAGCGCCATCTGATGGACACTGATCTGTATTACACTCCATATTTCAAATCATGTGCTGTGCCTTTATCAGTCTTATCTAAATAATGTATAGTAATAACAAATTATTTTTAGCACCATGCTGCATAGTCAAGCTTAAGAAAAACACTCTGAAACAAGAGGTCTAAAAAACAAAGTACAAACTTTATTATTCTTTGTTTACAAAGGCCAAGCCTCTTTTCCCCGCCCCCCAATTTTTTAAACAAAATATTATAGCTTCTCAATGACTGAGGACTGAGTGAGTCCAACGAAGAACAACCAAACAGATTATAAAAAGGAAGGAAAAGCGGGAGATGTGGAGACGCCTACGGATAGACAGCCCACAGCGCACCGTGGGAGGGCTGTCTGGGGACGCCTACAGGGAGACCGGGGAGCGCCGTGGGAGGGCAGTCTGGGGACGCCTACAGGGAGACAGCCCCCAGAGCGCGTGGGAGGGCAGTCTGGGGACGCCTACGGGGAGACCGGGGAGCGCCGTGGGAGGGCAGTCTGGGGACGCCTACGGGGAGACCGGGGAGCGCCGTGGGAGGGCAGTCTGGGGACGCCTACGGGGAGACCGGGGAGCGCCGTGGGAGGGGTCCAGCAAAGGGGAGAGGTTACACAGCTTTTCGGCGTGAACTAGCAACAAAGAGCATTCTGTTGCAAGAAAGTCATCGCAGCAACAGAGGCCTCCATCGGTACTACAGTAAGTGCTTGTGAGTCACATCCCCAGTCTGGGCCTCTGCAGTCCACACTGCCTGATATGTATAAATGATCCATACAGGAGGCCCACAGAAAAGTGAAAGTGAAAACTTCATGGCTTCAGTAGAGGGAATGATTAAGCGCAGATACTGAAAAGGCCTGAAGTGACGTAAGTACACAAAACTGGATCTGTTTTTAAAATAACCGTCCGACTTCAACCCTGCCCCACCCCCAAACCCCACCTGGAAAATAATAAGTGTTTTTGACTCTCTATTCAGGGCAGCGGGCTCTCCACAGAGCCTTTCTAGCTTGGGATGTAGGGTACAGACCTGCCCACATGGGGACACCTGTCAATCATGAGCCTTGCTTTGATGCCATTGGCGCACTGAGAGGGTCCCTCCTATCACTATGCAGTGAAAGCGAGGGCGGGTCAACTCAAAAACCACAATTGTTTAAAAATGAAAAAGCTGATTAGCAGCAAAGGGGACATCAAATGCAGCCAAAGATGAGACAATGATGATTAGCTGGGGGGGGGGGGGACAAACTACAGAGAATGTGCTGGAATGTTTAAGAAGCACCCGCATCTGCCAATGCCGTCTTCATTTATGATAATCACCAGGACAAGCTTAAAAAAACCAAAGACGAGAAAACTTCAGCTCCATTGAAGAAAGGATAGCAGCGGCCAACTGGCCATCGTAGTCTATCCCAAAGGAATAGGCGCCCTCTGGTGCCCTGGAGGACCGGCAGCCATTAGTGCATCACAGCTGCATTAAGGCTAGCGGCTGTCCTAAATGCCACCTGTATCCCATAATCCTCTACCACCGGGGAATCCTAGTGGCGCATGGCTTAAAATGGGGAGAGCTAAGATGTAGTTCCTGGAAAAAAAAAAACAAAAAAAAAAAACACACACACATACACACACACACACACACAAAGGGAACGCTTGACGCGTAATCCTATACGTAGGTGCATCAGAACGCTCCACAGCCCTTAATGTGACGGGCCAGAAAGGATATAGAGGTTATGAAGCATAGGATAAACACTGGCATATTTACAGAAATATACATGTATAAAGGTTACAAAAAAAAACCACAAGGATCTTACTCAGCAAGGTGCGGATGCCTTGTAGCACCTAAGCCGGCTGTGACAGGGGACACACACACACATACACACACATACACACACACACACACACACACATACACACATACACACAAACACACACACACACACATACACACACATACACACACATACACACAAACACACAAACCAGCGAGTTCCTGGCTTCTGCCACCATTCAAGTAACAAAACGTGAGACAATGACCAACAGACCAAAATGAGGAGATGTGCAGCCCATTGAATGGGACTAGTCCAGAAAACCACTAAAGCCCCCGCAGCCTCCCTTCATGGGGCCGGCAGACGGGGGGGCATTTTTACACATCATGAGACACTCACTGTCTGAAGGCATGGAGAAGTCATCCTGTGTGGGGGGGTGTGTGTGTGTGTGCGTACAACTGCATAGTTTCAATTGGGTGACCGAGTGTAGCTACCCCCCCCCCCCCCCCAGCCAAACACACTACATGGGATACACAGACACAGCAGGGGCCCCCATGAAGACTGCGAGGCAGTACACACTACACACCACTCGTGCGCACGCACACTCACACACACACAGGAATCTGTACCGTATCAGGGAAAAACAATCTGTAGCAAAACTCAATGGGGAATTAAATCCAAAAACATAGTAAAAATGAAATCGCAAAAGTCATCTACAGGGCGTGACCCAGCAGGACCTGCAGGATAGCTTATTGACGGCATTAGGCCAATGCAAATTCATTGGGGGGGGGTTAAAAAATGAATACGGGAGACATCGCGGTAAAAAGCAAGCAGGCTGTCCTACTGTCAGGGTGGAAAAGACGAATTTTTCCTACAGAAACGTGGCTTCTGTAGGTGATTAATGAGTGATCATGTCAGACCCCCGGGGGGGTGGGGGGGCACAGTGCTAACAATCTCACCCATCTGTCAGCCTATCACCGATCATGTCGCTGGGTAAAAGTTTTGGCTTTGAGAGCTTAAAAAAAAATGTGATTCTCTGGCTAAGGAGATGCTGTACACCATCAGCGGACACTGAACACAGTAAAACAAAACACATACAGAAAAAAAAAAAAAAACAGCATTTCCTCTGACAAAAGCGTGGAACAGATCAGAGTTTCAAAGGCTCACAGTGTCATAATCTTGCTTTAAAAAAAAGCCACTTAAAAAAAAAACCACAGCCTTCCTCCAGAGTGCTGAAGACAAGGAAAGACAAGGAGCTCAAACAAATGGAGGGAGGGGCAGGTGGGCGGGGCCTTTCGCAGCCCCTCCCCTGCGAGTCGTCTGGAGCGCTCAGGTTTGGGAGGCATGGCTGACAGAGGTTAGACGTCAGGCCCGGTACTGTGAGGTCCATGACCATCAGGGGCCCGCTTGTCGGCAGGAACCAGGGAGCAGACGGCAGCGGGGAGGCCAGATGTGCTGCGCAGGCTGATTGGTCAGTAGTGAGGGTCGGGCCTGGCTCCGCAAGCTGGACCTGTCTGTCAGTCAGTCTCTCAAGTGTCTGTCAGCCTATCAGAGTGCCGCATGTGTGTGTGGAGAGTCCCTCCCCCACGGTCACTGCCCCCCACCCCCAGAGCGGGTAGAGATCAGGGCAGGGAGCCGTCCTCAGGGCCCTCGCTGTCGGAGGCCGTGTCCGAGCCGGGGTCGTCCTGCGGGACGCGGCCGGGGGTGACGATGACAGCTCGCCGTTGCTCCTCCTCCGCCACCGAGGCCTTGTCCTGCGTCCCCTCAATGTGCTGGATGGCCTAGAACCGAGAACCGAGAACCGAGAACCGGTCAGGAAGGCAGAGCGCCACCTGCTGCTCACATATTCATATGTCAGGCAGAAGAAAATAAACCTTTCCCTTCTGTTTTGCTACGATCTGCCACATTGGTCCACGACATTTACTTGATACTTGTTATCCAAAGCAAGTTACAGTAGAGCTGGGTCCCCCAGCTCCAGTCCTGGAGGGTCAGTCTGCGACATAGTTTGCAGATTTCCGTGCTCAACACACCTTATTCAGCTCACCAGCTGACTGACAGATTTAATAGGTGTGTCTGAGCAGGGAAATCCGTGTCGCGAACCGGAATTCCGGGACTGGAACTGGGGAACCCTGCAATAAAGGGCTTTGAACCAATGACCTTCTTGGTGAGCTATCTGCTAGCCTTTCAACAGGCAGCAGAGGGTTCAGCTCTCACACCTGCACAATGGTGTCCAGGTTCTGCCGTGACGTGGACGCTGTGTTGATGACAGAGGTCGGGCCCATTGTAACCACGGTTACATGATGGGGCAGTGGAGGCAACGTGGGAGCGGGGACAATAACAGTGGCGTGGTGAGTGGGGGCCGGAGGGGTCGGAGGGGTCAGCACCTGCAGGAAGCAGAGGGGGCCGGGAGACATGTTGGCGCACACCCAGGTAAGCTTCTATGTAACGACACACCTATAAGGTCACATAAGAGGATCCACAACCCAATTAGCTGTCAGCAACCAACAGATCTGACGCCCTCTAGTGGGTCAGAATGTCACTGCAGGCACTCCTATTCTGCAAGGCACTCAGAATGTGACCGGTGCTGCGCTTGTCGATGTGCGTCTAACCTGTGGGCTGCAAGGGGGCAGTTCCCTCTCTAGCTGCTCGTGCTGCTGCTGCAGCCGGAGAAGCGTCTGCGTCTGTGTCTGCATGTGCTGCTCCTGCACCTGCTGGGCGATCACCTTCAGCTTCTCAGGGTACAGGTGAGCATCGAGGGAGCGGATCTGGAAGGACGGGGGTTTAATGACAGGGACGGTGAAACATTGGCCTTAGCTGTACGGGTTAGCATTAGCGTTAAAATTAGCGTTAAATTTAGCGTTAAAATTAGCGTCAGCTATACAGGTTACAGGCTTCACTTCTGGGGCCCTGGCTGCCTCACCTGCTCCTCCAGCATCATACGCACTGAGCGCTCCTTGTCCAGCTGCTGCCGGAGCTCGATCATCTCCCTGCGCAGGTCCTCCGCCTTCTCCTCCTCCAGGATGTCAGGAGAGCCGATGCCCTCGTCCTTTTCTTCGGCGCGCCTCCTCTTGGGGGACGAACCGCTAAATTCCTGGCCAAAAAAAAAATAAGGGAAGGAAGGAGCGAATGATACGGCAGACCTGCAGAGGGCAGCACTGAGGAATGTGGAGTGTCATCTAACAGAACACGGCCCAGCGAGCGAGACTGACGAGTACCGGGTTGCTGGCGGAGAAGCTCGGAGAGGCCTTGAACCCAGACGTACCTGGATGAAGCGCTTCAGCTGAGTGTTCTGCTGCAGGAGCCGCGTCTTCTCCTGCTCCAGAGAAAAGATGTACTCCGCAGTCTGCTGGAGGATGGCTGCCTGCGAGCGCGGCGGAGGGGAGAGACGGATCACTGCCAACTTACTGACCCAGAACAAGCAATGATAGCCAGGTTTTCAGTGTCAATGGCAAAGCAAATACATCTGTGTTTTGACCCTGTGCTGTTTTTTTTTTTTTTTTTTAAAAACAATAATACATTAAAATGTGTGCATTAAATTTGTGATTTTGTTTTATTTATTTATAAAGTTGCATGTTGTAGAACCACTGTGCCACAGAAAAAGAACAGCTGTATAAATCACTGGAGCAAAACTGCCACGACGAACTTGTTTGTGAACGTTTGAGCAAAATTGTACGAACAAAAAAAACCTTTATTGCGCCAGTGATGTTCCACCACCTGCGCACCCACCTTGCTGAGCTTCTCCCCGTCGCTGTGCGGGATCAGAGTCTTCAGCGACTGGAAGCCAGCGTTGATGCTCTGCATGCGGCGGCGCTCGTTGCTATTGGCGATCTCGCGGCGAATCCGCCGCTCCTGGTCACGCGCTGTCTCCGGGGTGAGCGGGATGTTCGCCAGACTGGGGAATGAAAGGACGCACCAATCAGATCAGACCAAAGAGAGCCGGATGGTGGGATGCGTCAGTGACATCCAATAGGAACAGCGCAGGATGCGTCAGTGACATCCAATAGGAACAGCGCAGGATGCGTCAGTGACATCCAATAGGAACTGCGCAGGATGCGTGGTCCGGAACATCACAGGAACCGGGCACAAAAACCCACAGGAGAATTTAACATCAAACACTCCTGTAAGTGTGTGGATAACAACCAGAGGTGGAAATTTCAGGCCAAGAAAAAGTCCAGACCAAGATTTTGTCCCAACCCACCAGCTGAGTACTCTGTGACTGTGACTCTTCATACTCAACTAGTGGGTTGAAACAAAATTTTGGTCTGGAATTTTACTTTCTGGACCTGAACTTTCCAGCTCTGGTAATAATGTTCAATGCAGCGCGCAAAATTTCAAATTGATTTGCCACTAAAACACAAAATTGCCGGAAAACAGCCCTATTTCCTAACATTACACAGAACATCGGAGGCCGTGCAACCGTGCAGAAGGACTCGGTGGCACGAATCCAGAGTGCAGGCAGGCAGACTGAAGAACAAGGGGCCGCATCCGCGCGCGGAGTTCACTGCAGGTCGCGAGTTTGCTGTATCAACAGAAACAGTCGGAAGCCTAAAAGAATCGGATAACATTCCTGGCGAAGCGGCCGGGCCAGATTCCTGCTGTTCCGCGCCTCGCGTTGACACCGTGCCGCGCGGTCGAGACCTCGCAGCCTACTGGGCGACGGCGTGTTAAGTGATTCTCACATCAGGTCTCCTCCTTCTGTGTAAAAGCCAAGGATCCGGCTGCCGCCGTTTGGACGGGAAGGCGGCGCTCCAGCCAACGTCGTGGCGGTAGCTTATAATCTAAAAAAGTCTATGTTACGTGCTGCTAGTGTTTCAGATTAAAATGGATGCAAGGAGGAGGTGCAGGCCCTCTGCTGGCCGTCGTGTGCAACTTCACGGCGGAAAGGGGAGCTGAGCCCATACCGCTGACTGAACGAAGGACCCACGGTTTGTATACAAACCCAGGATAGCTGGTTCTCAATAGGAGTTCTACAGAACGCCACTATCTGTGTGTGCAAATGGACAGATAGTGACTTTGTGACTTGGTACCATCCACATGTAACCGTTTGTGTGACAGGGAAGAACAACACGAGAGACAGCACTGACACAGACTGGGCGTCTGGGTACAGCTGGACCTGGGCTTGTTCCCGGACTAAACGAGCAGACAGTCAGGCTTCAATTACAGCAGTAACCATATTCCATCTGATACCCGACACTGGGGAAACTGAATTATTTGTGAATGATTGTTACATTAATAACAAAACCGAAGGAGAATAAAATTAATACCAGGCCAGGCTACAGGGCCTTAAATCCCGGACCTGCATGGTGAAAGTGTGGTAAAGAAATGAGTAAAAGAGGCCAGCTGCTGCCCCGGAGATCGGGCCGTAGCACTCAGGCATGGCCTCATTCTGAACGCTCCCACCTGGTCCCAGGCACTCAGGAAGAACAACTGAACACATTATGGGGGGGGAGGCAGGGGGAGTCAGAGAGGAACTTTAAAATTTCCATTACCCGAGGAAAGCAATGAATCCCAAATTCCATGAAGTAGGAAAGGTCAGTTATATTGACTTTCAGGGTTTTCCAGACCGATGTCTTTACTGCTGATAATATTCGTAGGCGTGTTCAAATTGCGGGAACTTTCGCTTCGCGTTTCGGTGATATCAGCTAATGCTCCATTAACGCACCGCCAACATTAACACGCCTCCCGCTGCTCGTCCAGTACAGCCCCCACCCCCCCGGCCCGCCCCCCCGAGGCGCACACACAAGCACGGGCCAAAGCTGAATATCGAGAGGAAGCCCGCACATCGGTGGGCGGGAGAGCCTGCAAGCTCCCCAAACACGGAGCAGGATTCAAACCACCCCCCACCCTGGAGGGGGAGGGGCCTCTGCCATCCAAAATAAGTCTGCAGCCGATGAATACGACTCACCCAGTGGGCTCAGGTGTGGCAGACAGACTCGTGCTGACGTCGCCTTTACGAAAAGTCTCAGCAACACAGAACCGCTACCAGGAGACACAACAGGCACAAACTGCAGCCGTACTCCTTAGCTAAACATCACACTTGACTCTTATTAAGTTGTCTTGGTGATGCATGACTGAATTCGAACCCAAAAAGCGGCTGACTAGCTGGATTCAAACCAGAAACCTTCAGCAGCGGACCCTATGCCCTCTGGCCCTGCTCCTGGCTGCGGCTTCTCGTTTGGGTCTGAGGTTGCGGCCTCAAAGCGCGGAGTAGGTGCATCCTGTGGGCCGTCAAATAACCTGACTAGCCTGCCTAAAGTACACTGACCACATGCAATACCATCTGCTTCCTTCAGAGCAATGGCTGGCCAGTCACACTGCTATGCATTAATAACTAACAAAACAGATTTGGCTGGAAATCTGCAGCGGACCTGTTCGGCTCACGGGAAAACAGCAAGCAAGGCACACCACTTCACCGTCTTGCTGTTTTCAACCAGAATTTTAACTATGCCAGGATTCAAGGATAAGGCAAGAAAGTCTGGATTGCTTTTAAAGACCCACAAACATGGACATGATAAGATCTGACAACAGAATTCACGCCATCTCATCATGCATCCTTTTAAATAAGCTGTCACCAACATTATTTCTAGTCACCAGTATGTTAGTCTGTTCCGTTTTGGATATCAAAGTAAAGTACAAACTTTAAATGAAGCACTTAATACGTGTCACTGCAGAAAGTGTTCATGCTTCAAGAAATCCACCGAAAGCTACAACCCGAAACTGTTGCCAGAGTATTAAGTTATTTTTTCGCCGTTAAAGCACACACGTTCAGGGTACATCCACATGATCGGCGCGGACTATACACGTTCCTCCTGCACAGTGACAGCTGTTCGCGCATTTTCTGTGCTATAGTGACAGCGAAGCACAGCCCTCAGCGCAGCCTGGTCGGTCCGATGGAAGAACCACATTTCCCAGAATGCTCGCTGTCTGTGGGCCTCCCACCCCGCCCTCCCCTCCGCCTCCCTGTCTAGCAGGGGTTGCGGACGCTTAGACAGGCCTGCTCGTTTATACACACCCCCTTTTATGAAAAAGACAACTTAATATATCTCCATTCGTCGGCACAGAGCATTCTTTAGTGCCGATCCTCATTTCAGAATGTGGTCGTTTACTCGACAGCTTCCCAGAGACGATCTAGTGAAATGCCCCAGCCGAGCGCTCCGCCATTAAAACAATGCGACTCCGCTTCCTCTACGCCTGTCCATGCGGCAGCATGGCAGAGCTACGGACATAATAGACGCAGCGCAATTCGGCGTGCAAAGTGCTGAAATGTGACCTTCGACGTCCATGTTAGCCTGGGTTTTAAAAGAGGTTCGGTTTCGATCAGATTTCCCCCTTAGCACGCGTTTGATTCGAGGGGGAAACGCGACCGTGGCATAAGGAGGAAGACGACGCCAGATCGTTTACTACTTCAGCACACGCCACAAGCATGGCCGCACTGCCCACAATAACTTCACAGCGCGTAACTAACGTAGCAGACCGCACAGGATACATGTCGCTCTGCTGCAACACTCCATCATCTCAAAGGAAGAATGTGATCTAATCACCAACGAAAAATTACTAAAAAATAATCTATAATTGTTTATATAAAGAAAAACAACAGCCGCCTCCGACTAGTCTTACAACAGAACAGCAGCGTGGAGTGCCTTAAACCACGTGGTTTATGTTTGCTGGACACAAAATGTATCGATTTCACAAAAAAATTGACTAAGTAACAATAACATGATACACCCCCGTATTTGCTACATAGGACCCATTGCATTATTTGTACAAATAAATCAATCTTAATCAAGGCAATAACTGTCCCGCTCATGGGGTATCGTTCGTGTACACAATAACATACAAATGAAATCAAGCATGTTGTCTCACCGCTTTCGCGTTGCAGACACCAAAGGCTTAACAGTTCATTAAAGAAAAAACACCCATTTGTGAAATATGCAATTAGTCGGCGCATACACACCTACAGAGACCCCCGATCACCTCTTTTTCCGTTTTTCTGAAATGTTGCAATGAGGGCACCTTCGGAGCTGGCACCATGAAATACTCCATGCTTTTTTCTCCAGTTTTGTGTCCTCGATTCCTCCTTTCTAATTTTTTGTATTTCTTTAGGTGCGTTTCAGTCGCGTGGAAACGCCCGCATATACACAGTGAATGATTTTTACTTATAAAAATATTATAATTTTGCTTGTCTGTGCATATGTATGAAGTCCACGGAGTTGTAATGTTACTCTACTCCCAGCTGATGGGGTTTCCTCGGTGTGTGTGTGTGGCGCTCTCTGTCTCTCTCCCTCCCTCCCGCTCGATCTCTCTCTCCTCTCTCTCCCTTTCCGCATGTACGCCTATGTGTGTATTTGCAGCTGATCGGATGTCTTTCAAGGCGGGAAACAGCTGGTCGGTATCACGCAGCTCACTACGAAAAAGCCTCCTTCCGCAGAAAGAGGAATTGCATGTAAACAAAGGGGTGCTTAAATCCAACCTTCTATTACAAGATTTACAGACCATAGCAAGCAGTTATAAAATTGAAACTGCAACGTAACAGAAGTCATTACAGCAACGCAATACACAGCCTCGCGTTAATCTCAATCATATGTTACTAGCTAGCTAAAAGAACTGAATGCTTGTTGTTCAGGAAGACACGCTTTTTTTCTATATACTGTCGACTGCTTCATTTCCCTTTTTCTACTCCAGTGAGCAGAAATGTGAATGGTAGCGTGGTGCAAGCCCGTGCAAGGGCGCGAGCTCTGATCTACAGTCGCCACTATGAAGTGAAGCAGCGGGATCAGCTGACGAGTTGGCAGGGGTTGCAAAAACAGCAACGCGTCGGGGAGGTGGCGGGGTAGCGAGGGGGGAGGGGGACGCGGAGAGAGGCTGACATTGAAACAGCTGAACTTGTGCACCATTTTGGGAATATGGAAGTAGGAGGAGAAAAAGACGGAGTTACCTAATCGCCACTCATGCCTTGCTGGAACGAACGAAGCGCGTACTAGATAAACAGAAACAAAATGGTAGCAGTGAACATGCACCCGGAAAGGTTTCAAAGGCTTTATAGAGAAAGCAATGTGCGCGACACGATCATAATCGGCGAACATAAATGCAACGAAATTGAACATTCCTTGACTATGTTTTCAGAACTATAACAACACATTGTCTATTTCCTTATTTTTGTAAGAAATGAAATAGGACATTTGACATAATAATTTAATAACATTGCAGATATGTTACGTGTGCCCGTACTTTCTGCATGTGGAATTGTTTATAAAAACAGCACACACATCTCGGACGCATCCAAATATACATTTATATTAAATACCAGTTTTAGCATGTCTGTGGTATCTTAGAATATAATCGTGTGAAACAATAAATGAAGTTGCACGTCTCTTAAGGGTGGTGTCTCGTCATTTCAGAGGGTCGTCTGAAGACACGGGAGGTGAGCGTTTGGGAGCCCCAAAACCGGTATCGAGGGGGGTCAGATACTGCTCTCGGCGTCCAGCTACGAAGATTCTTATGAGCGATGCCTAATCTGCCCTCCTTCGTAATACTTTGATAAAACTTCTACCGCAATAAAGTAAAAGAGTGCGTTACTCTCAACAACAGAACGAGATCAATTTAAATGCATTAAGTACATCCGCATAAAATAGCGTTAGACAATGACTGTGCGACCTGCTCCGTCCGAGCACCTCAAATCTCTAAACGCGGCCATCTGCGTCCGCCACTCGCAGAGGAGCAACGACACCAGAGGGGGCGCTATGACTCTCTGAGCTTCACGCGGACGCCTTGGCGCGTGCTCCCTGTCCCCTGAAATCTTAACTTTGTCACGGCTCCTCTCGCCGTCTTCCAACTGATCTTCTCCTTCGTCGAAACGGCCATTCCCCAAACAACGGCCTCAGCATTTTGGCGCATTTAGCTGGGTTAACTGAACACGTATGAACCCGCTATGACTTTGACGTAACTCTCGCAGGGAGCTTGTCCTCCTGGGGTGCAAAACACGTGGGTTCGTCTGTTACGCAGCAGAGTTTTTGTTTGTATAGACAAAACGCATGTTTGCTTCTATAGGCTGAATGCCTTACAGCAACATAAAGCTCTCCCACATGAGCTATGAGCTTTTCACAACCCCCACTGTCATTTGCTGTTCTGCTCTGAGGGCGCCATCATCTCCAACCACGTACTGGCCTCTGCGTGTGTGTCTGGTGGTTGACCGTTCTCAGTCTTTGGCTCAGCGACATAATGGACTTTCTTGCATTTGGCCTTTCCGCTACTGGCTTCTCCCGAGATAAAGTACTGTCACCCTGTACCATTCTGGCCCCCGGACACCAGCACTGTGTTTATGAGATATTCACCAGCTGAGGGTCTCCTTGCAGCAGAGAGCCCTGGGGAGTTCAGAGACCCCATGTAAGACACCTGTAGTGCTTTACTGCATCGTGATGTGGGTGCGATGGACAGAAAGGGTGTTGCTGAGTGTGTTTTTGTTCCGACACCCGCCTCTGTATAAGAAAACCATGAAATATTTTATGCACAAACCATTCTTCCGCATCAACTTTTACTGCAATATGTCAGGGTCTGATTCATTAAACTATTCACCTCAGCTATTGTCGTTGTGCAAAATGAGTCTCTCTGCATTGCTGTATTGTAGCAGTGTTTACAGTAACAGAGTAGCAGTAACTTTCTGACACACATCTGTGCCCTAAACCACCATTGACGATTTTATTGTAACTATTGATGCATTCATGATTAATATGTGTAATTAAAGCAAAACCAAGATAAAAATCGCTCTTCCGCCATAAACCTCAATCCACACCGTTATACGGCGTGAGAACAGCGTTGTCGCTATTATGCCATCTGGTGGCCAAACGGCGTTACTACGCGCGTTCATGAGCGTTAATATTCATATATGTTTTTCATTTCGCTTGACAATTCAAATGCCACAAGATATAAAACCAAAAGGTGTAGATGTGTGATTTAGGTCTGGCTAGTATCTGCCCTAGGATTATGCAGAGTATAGATCGCTCATTTCTCTCACTAAGATCCATCAATCTGCATTGCACTGAACCTCACAAACTGTGATGATTACAGTACAATCTTTGCGGATAAGATTGCCCACCCCTGCAGTGGCGGAGCTAGACTTTTATTTAAGGGGGGGCCAAAGGGTGAGCAAGGGTTTCTCAGAGGGGTCCATCTAAATATGATAAATGAAGGATTTTTTATTTATTTAAATAGATTAATTTAATTAATTAATCTAGGTAGCTAATTAAACCTTCACATTACAGTATAGTGAAATATGACATGCATAGCCTGCTTACATACAGTACAAAACTAATGACTTGGTTCTCCACATATACACTTACCACACAGACTTCAAGCAAGGGCTAGCTTTGCTAAAAAAAATTAAACAACACTATAATTCAGCACGTGCACTAAAACATACATAGGTACAAAGACGCTGTCTCAAAGACGATCTATATCAGCACGAGCAGGGCTCGTGGCTAATTTAAACGAGACATGGAGCAGACAGTGCGCAACGCTTTCATGCTGCTATTTTTTATTTACTGCAAGTGTGTGACCACCTCTCATTAGGAAGGTAATACAGTGTAATATGTTATAAATACCTGCTTAACTCCTGCTGTTATCAATACCGCGGGTGTGTTTTGGATCATGTATGAACGTGTGCCACTGCCAGAGCTTTTAGCCAATGACATGTCAGTAAGCAGCACGCACAGGGTCCTGCTGCGTCGGGATGCCTTCAAGGACACTCGGAAATGACAGTTTTCCGCTCAGATCTTTGCCCGATCTCCTCATTGGTATACTTTAACGTTTACCATTTCCAGCGGGGTGGCACTGGGGGTGGCAAGGGCTCTGTTGGGGGTGGCAATTGCCACCCCTTTGGCTCCGCCCTTGTATCCCTGCTCTAAGCAGTCATCCTGATCAGTATTATACGGGTTCGGAAAGCCGTAAAGCAACAAGTGTTACCCTCCGTGCCTCCCGGAAATGGAAGCGTTAGTATTTAGATGTTACTTAAATGTTAGTCACTTAATATTTACGGGCCAGTTACTGGGCTCGAGCTCCGATCTACAGTTGCATAGGGGCAGTAAGGAATAAGCATTTCCAAGCATCATCACGTTCATTAGGCCAAGCTTTAACATTTTAAAGTACTTTTTAAGTTCTTGGAAATACGTTCGTCTAAGTTTTTTTTAATAAAGAGAAATCTAAAGGCAGTCTAAAGAGTTAGACTTAAGTGGAACGCAAATGCAAAGATTCCTTACACACGAATAAAGAAATGTGAGACGTCAAACAGTGAGAACCCATCCATACATCCATAAAATAACCCCCTTTTAATTTGTCTGTGCCTTTAATGCTCTTCTCATTGACAAGTAGCTCACCTGCACCGATGTATATAGAGCAATAGGCTCATCTGGCCATAAAGGAGCTTATTAGCAAACTTTGAAACTGGTAACGTGTTATCTGATAAAAGATCCAATACACATAAAAGATACACCACACAGAAAGGGTTAAAGTTCTGTGACAGAAATATCAGGCGAGGAAAAAGTAAACACTTTCCTTTTCAATACTGTTTAGTAGACCAGTTTAAGGATCCTGTTTGCCAGACAAAATCATGCAATTAAAAATAGCAAAGATAGCGAAAGAGTATATAGGAGACCTGGGCTGTTTATGTTATGGCAATAACGAAAGGGGATCTCGCAATGAGGGCGTAATCGGTGTGTGGAGGACGGTATGGAGAAGGGTGGGGAGACCTCCGGAGAGAGGAGCCCTGCCCACGGCGGAGGGGCGGAGCGGCAGGCATGCGCTGAGCTGGCAGAGCAGGGGCCAGTCCGCTGCGTGCGGGGAGACGGAGGGAGACACGGGCTGGCTCGGCTCCGGCTGCTGTCTGCGATCGGGCGGCCGCGGGGAGACCACCGTACCATTCGCGTCTCCTGACGGCGGAGAAGAAAGAAACGACGGAGTGCGAGAGGCAGACAGGCCAAGGAGGACGACGGCATCGGAACGGGTCTGCATCAGGATACGAGGACAAGGACGGGAGGGGGGTCTCCCTTCGGCACCTCCGCGCTCCCTGTCGCTCAGCACACTCCTCACTCCGCCAAGGCGACCACCTTCCGCAAGAGCCACTTGACGAGCGTCGCAAGCGAGCGATGCGCCGTGAGCCACAGCCGAAATTCCCGAGTAACTCTCCCAGTATAACAACCGGTGGTTTTTATATTGCAAATCAGTAACTGTGTCAGAACTACAGACACCGTGCACCTCGAACGGGTTTCTGGAGGCAAGAGAACCGTCTCATCCTCTGGAAACTGACAACAATTAATTTAATTCTTGTTCTTCGACAGGAGAAAGCGCCGCAGCGCTTTATTCTACCATTCGTTTCATACTTAGTTTATTTCTACATTAGATTTTCTAGCGACAATGACCGGGCAATCGCCTGCCTCAATCAGCACCTAATTGGCACCATCGGTATCTGCGCCGTTTCTCTGCGATCCTGACTGTAGCGGACGTCCGAAAACCTCGATAAAAAGCAGGAGCGTCTCCACCAGGACAAGTGGAAATTCCAGGAGGGCTGAACGAAACTTCCCCAAAAAGGAAAAAGAAGTAGAAAAAAACCGTCGTTCGTTGGCTTTTAAAGGTAATTTCGTCTCCAGGACTTCCATATTATTTACTGTGACACACGAGCGTTAATGGTGTATGCATATGTATGTGCAGGCTACTATATATGTATATATATGTGTGCCTGATCTATATGTATGAATGTGTATATATGCACACCGTACTTTCCATAGTTTGTTTAAATATGTCCACGTCCGACTCATACGTAAATGTGAGATTATTTTGGTTTCGGACATGATCGACTGACCTCATTTACTGGAGTCCCGAAATGCGCGTCCCCGCTGGCCGGGCGCCGGCTGACTGAGCGAATCCCGCGGCGGTGACCTGGGCGTACGTGCGCCGCCGGCCGCCGTCTGCGGGACACGGCGCTCCGAGAGTCACCCGCTGTCTCGATCCCGACTTGCCGGCGTGGCCCGGGCATGCGGGTGGTTTCTCCCTCCATTGTCCTAATCGTGCTCTGAAATGGTGTTTTGGTTCATTAGTAGGATTGTCATCTCACTTTGTTGATTTTTTTCCATTGTTGGGTACGTAGTAGACATTCCTAAACTTGTTATAAATTGGACACGTTGTGACACTTCAGTTTTTTTTAATTTAATGAAACATTTATTTTGCCGGTAGTAGAAAAGGCTGTTAACGCACAGGAATCAATTTTCCACAGTACGTAAGCTACTTAAAAATGATGAAGTTTGGTTAACGCAAAACTAAAATAAAACAAGATGCGGATGGTGAATCCGGCGGCCCTTTGGATGAGGGACCTCGCAGCTGGCGAGCTGAAAGCAGCAATTACAGCGGATCAGGACCGAATCGTGAGTTCACCGGGAATATAATCGGATCCCTTTGACAGGAACCCGCAGAATCATGCCCAGTGTGGTCCGGAAAAATATATATGATTGCATTATATACATCAGGGAGTTTTACTCGGGGTCTTTTCTCATGTTACGTAACACTACTGCTACCCCTGTGTGGTCAGGGCATCTGGCCCCCTGCCTTTTGGACGACGTCTTCAGCATTCAGGGGATAAGGGATCGAGACTGGGCTTCCTGTGAGATGTTCCAGAGATGCCCCCACCTTCCGTCGCGTTTTAGCACTTTGACAGTTCTGCTGTTTTTCAGACCTCCTTGGGTTTCTGGCTCCTCGTTTAGTCCAGTTCATTTGTGAACATTTAGGTCATTATGATGTCATAAATGAATGACTTCAAACGTTCAGTAAAATTTCCCCATCATCGACTTCGATGATTTTTCCAGCTGCTGAGGAATCACCCTGTTTGACATGGTAGGTGGGAAAGGCAGCAGCTTTCGTGTGTCTTGGTGACTGACGTTACCGCGCTGCCCCGCGGGTTCTGAATGCCGTGCGGTGAGATGGTCTGGCGGTGCCCAGTGACCACCGCGGCTCCATATTACCGCGCAGATTACAGCGGAGCACGAGGGCTTCCGCCAGGTGCTGCACTTCAACAGAGGAGAGGCGCCTAGTGGATAGAGAAGGAGGTGAATCGCAAGCCGGTGCTCCGCATCGGCCGTAAGGAATCAGCCGTGTCCGTTCCAGATTGCCCCACAAGGTGCCCGGACAGGGCAACCCTTTAGGAAAAGGGCATCTGGAATGCTGGGCACAGCCGAAAGGTCAGGCCGCTTCCTCGGGAGTAAAAGTGAACACGACGCTGAAAGGCAGCATGTTTACAAAGCATTACTGACGTATTTGCATCAGATGTGACTCTCTCCTGTGTGGGACGGTGAAGGTTTATTTTCTTTTGACCCACCTCGCGTCCGAGGCCGGCAGCGTGGGTGTGAGAACAAGGAGGGTAACAATCGCTTCCGGTTGGGCGTCCCACGACGACCTTGGCAGTAGCTGTGGGAGAAGCGAGCCTTTGAAAGCCATCGTGGGTGGGATTTAGCGCGAGCTGTCCTTCACTGCATGCTTAACCCACACAGCACAGCAGCTAATGGGAAGCAGATCGAGCCATCAGAACTTCGGTGGGTCTGGAATTTAGGGGCGAATATTGAAATGGTTTTCCTGGAAGGATTTGTTAAGTTGAGAAATGTTTAGAAGGCCTAGTATAGTAGGGGTGGGTACATGATGTGTGTATCGGGGGGGGGGGGGGGGGGGGGGCTGATATTGTCTCTGGAAACAGTTCAGCCCAGTCAGACCCACCATGTTGAACTGGGAGGTGGTGTCCCTGTTCTCGGAGATGGAGGGAGCCCAAACTGGAGGCTGTCTTTTCCTTCTCTTAGCCAGAGCGCGCATGATGCAACGAATGTGCAACACACTAACCAACACCCTGAAAAACACACAGCGCAGGAAATGTGCAGCAGTGCTCGCATTCAGAGCTGATCTCTGAGGAGGACCAAAGGCAACGTTTCTTTAATTTAGATTGTTTTTGGCTAAAAAAAAAAATAAGGTGGAGAAAATAAGAACCGATTCCTGGAGCACAGAAAGGCAGACGAGATTCTGGGAATCTGAGCTAGACCGCCGTTAGTGAAGGTCCGACTGACAGGAGGAGCCCGTCGGGCTAAACGACAGATGTTGGAGTAACGTTCTCACTGTATGTTATTAACAGTCGCTGTAATTGTAGCTGGTGGTTGCACTTAACCATAAAATCTGAAACTGCAAAGACGCCCTTAATGCAGAAGAATCGACCGTCCACCTGGCGAAAGGTTGACAGTCTGCCCGGCCGATAGGTCTGCACCCCAATCCATTGTCACCTCATTTCCTGCTTTGTTGGAGCTGCAGATCTCCATCGTGACTTAGACAGGAAGCCGGCTCGGAACTCCCTCTCCCACAGCGTGCCTGGCAGACAGGAAGTTGACTCTAAACTTCATTTCCCATGAGGGCAGCTCTAGCTGTCTGTTAGTTTCCATAGGTCACAAAGGACCAACCGCTCGCCAGCAGAAGCACAGCCCCTAGACTGTGAAGCAAGGCGTGCCATTGTTCTCCTGTGTTTTCATTACGCCTCAGCATTACACATAATTCGGTTTTATCCACTGTCTGTACCAGCGGATTAGTGACTTCAGGATGGCACAACACACAGTTCCCAGTTCATCCAATTGTACTGCTGCATGTCTGAGGTAGCTGGCAGCAAGTCTTCTGTAAAATATCACGGTGATAGTTGAGTTGTCTGAGAGTCACCACACGTGCATTTAATGCGTGAGATCGTAACTGAAATCCGTCCAAGGGATGATGGGCTACTGGCGTGCACCTAAGTGCATGTGTACGGTTTGTGCTGCTAGTTTTTCTTTAATTTTCATCATTTTTCAAACGTATCTGTGATGTTGGGGTTGTTCCTGCATTAAATCAGAGGCAGAGGAAAGCCCCCACAAGGACAGGCGTGCCCGCATGAGTATCCGTGTGTCATTTTTAACACTTGCTGTAGTTGGGCCGTAGCTCGCCGGAGCCGCAGAGGCTCATGGGAAGGCCTCCCTCGGCGGAGCATTTATCTCCAGGCTAAAGCAGCGACGGCTGCAGCCCCCCAGGAGCGACTCGCTCACGCCTGCGCGGTTACGCAAGCGGCCGTGCCACCTGCACATGGCGACCCACGCTATCTGCTGTACCGCTGTCACCTTTTGTAATCCTCCGCGGTACATCTGGTGCGGAGCGCCATCTCACAGGTTGGGGAGGGATCTTGGTGAGGGGGGGGGGGGCGGTGTGCACACTTTAAAAGAATTTCTAGCTGGTTTCACGCCCTTCACTCTCTCTCCTTCTGTTACTGCCTGCCACAAACCCAGCGCACTTAACCCGCTGCTGTTCTTCCGGGGGGGGGGGGGGGGGATCTCTGTGCTCAGTAACCTCCTTCTGCACCGGAACATGAGGGAGCTGAGATCAAAGGTCAGGGGAAAACTATGTCAGTGAGGCTCAGACCAATAGAAAGTCAGAATGAAGAGAGGGAGTGCTGGGGACTCGCTGGAAGGATATGGTGTGTAGCCGGAAGGGTCCTCATCGCCGGCTAGCCGCTACCCGGCGGCCCCGGCGCCATCGGGCCCACGCTGCCTCTGCCTGGGCTCAGCCGACCCCACGCTGCCTCTGCCTGGGCTCAGCCGACCCCACGCTGCCTCTGCCTGGGCTCAGCCGACCCCACGCTGCCTCTGCCTGTGCTCAGCCGGCCCCACGCTGCCTCTGCCTGGGCTCAGTCAGGCCCACAGCTGCTTCAGATTACCATTTATTCGCACGGCCGAAATTCTTAGCTTCTCCTGTATGCCCGGAATACTTTGCACGAGGAACACAGCGAGTGAATGCGTGCCAATGGGCGCTGGTGGGGTGTGGGCAGAGCCAGGTGTCTCTCCAGCTCTGCCTCTGGTCCTCGTCTCCAGCCAAAGTGCTTCCCATCAGAGGAGGTCCAAAGCGTTCTCTCTGCTGCCTCTCGCCTCGCCTCGCCTCGCCTCCCTGTCCCCATCTCTCCTCTCTCGTTCCCCCTGCATTCGTCTGCCTCCCTCTCTGTCACATTTCTCCCATTTTTCCTGTGACATTTATGAATTCAGTCCTTTTCGTCTCTATGCTTTGTTTCACATAGTGGCCCTCACACTCGCCCCCGTTCTACCTGAGATAGGTGAAAGCACTCCCCGCCCTGACTGCTAGCCGGAGGGGACGCTGCTAACTCACTTTCCTTTAGCATGTGCATTTAGAGTTTTCCTTTGGTAGTCGGGGTTGAAATAAGTTTCGGGGTGATCCCTGCTGCCGTGGCCATATGCTGCTATGTAAGACCAGGTGACCCTCTGTGAATGTTTTTGGCTGTCCCCAGAGCGTGTCATTGTGGCTGTAGCATGTGACGGTTTGTCTGCCCTTCACTGTGTCCTGACTGAGGTGTAACGAGGTCGCTGCGTGTCAGTAGCAGCGTAAGACTTTCCTTTCGGGGGTGGCTGTGGAATCTTCTCTGATAGATGTTTGTCGGGGTTACTGGACGGCCCTGGTCCTGTAAGCCTGTGAGTTAGGCGCGTCCTTGTCCCCATCTGTGAGGGATTTGGCCAATCGCTCTGCGTGACGGAGTGACGGCGCTCAGTGGGGATTGTAACGAATATTTGTCCCCTTTCAGTG